GCGCATCCGAAGTTCGCCAGACGCAGGGCATCAAAGAATGAATTGTTATGTGGATGGGGATGAAAAAGGGAACATGAATGAATTTGAGCAATAGGGAGAGGAATATACATAGGCATGAACATCACTGGCGATACATCCTCGAAGATGACGTAAATGAGGATGGAAATTCAATGGTCACAGTCAATTCAACACTGATTTAATGTGTAGCAGCGACCAATTGGCAAGCGAGATAGGAAGAGGGCTGAATAAAATGCAGATGCCTAAAAACGTCGACTGAAACCGATGATGATGATTATGCCTCACTAAATCCACTAGTAACGATGGATTCTTAGGCAAAACAAGGGCACAGGGTTATGTGAATAGGTAAATGGGTGATATGAAGTGGGGTCTGAGGAAAGAGATGCACCACTAGGATGTAGGACAACAAATAGGGGCGAAGAGTGATGCCACAACGGTGAAGGGGATTTCAATCACTTTTCTCTTTGATAAGTTGCAACTCTGTGCCAACGATGACACTTCCTACTAAGGTGCAGGCGAAACATTTTGGAATATATCAAGTCAATGGTTCGATACTGGAAATCACGAATACTATCGCAGATGACGGTTGACTAGTATACTGAACAAGGTCGCCCTTTCGCTCAGAACAAGTTGCGAAAACAAGGTCAGATCAACACAATAAAGCTAAAGGAGACTACGACCAAACAGAACGCCACAGCATCCTGGTCTTTACATCTAAAATACATTTTTCCAAATAAAATTTAAAAAGATAAATATTCGGCTTGAGTAGGTCTCTAAGCTACTTGTTCATGAATATGACCCAGGTAGCTACACGACCTACTCGAATCGTATTAAAGTAATGTGGTCAGTTGCAATAGCATTTATATGGTTGCTTTATTGCCAAAAAATATTTGGCAAGGGAAAAGCTTGACCTGTCTTCAAATTCACATCTGAACTCTGGCTCATATAAACTTATGGCGTTGCGGTGTAACGGTTAAAGTGTCGAAGCTATACAATGTACTACCAGGCTAGAAACTGCAGACCACCCTGGATGATAATTCCCTTCGGAAGGAAATATTAGACAATTCAATTATCAACCCCTTATCAGCGTATGCGACCTAGTGTGAATAAGCTCGTATTAAAAAATTCATACATTATTCGCAAAGAAAATAAACTTTAGAAGAGCAAGAATATATAACTTACTTTTTTGTAGTAATATTTCCTTCGGCGAGTGGAGCCCTGTTGTCCAGCAACGGCGTGGACGTCCGAGTGACCATTCAGCTCTTGACCTGAGACATCTAGACTAATTGGATTGCATGCCACAACGAGCTCACGCATCCAAGAAATGTCGGCCTCAACTAAGGGAGGTTGACGGCCTGGAAAAATTCCTTGAGGAGATTTTAATTCAGTGCTGGTCCATCCTTGTATGTTAATTTTGTCAAAACTTATAATTTTTAAATTGCCAGGGCTAGGAGAAAGACAGTTGCCAGATCCGAGATCCGACCAATCCGTTTTTGCTAGTTGTGTGGGAGATGTGAGCGTGTACCTCTTCCGTCGGCAAACTCGTGAGGCCGACGAGAGTATCGAACGAGGAAAGGAGGGTGATAATTTAGTGCTCAAATAGCCTTGATGCTCAAAGGCTCCGGAAGGAGTAGCTATGGTTGG